GTATTGTTAAAACACACATTTATAGCACGACATTGAAGGATTAAGAGTGCAAAGCGAGCTCATCATTTTTGAAACTTCTCTTTTTCTAGTCGCAAACGCGATGACACATAAAATTGCATTTATAAAGTGAACAACTTGTGTTATTACTTAAAAATGTATTTCTTTCCGTTTTATCTCCGCGCCAGCACACTAAAGAGAAATTATCGAATTCGAGTAAATATTTATTTCAATACTGCCTAATAAATCATTTATTTGAAATTAATAATATTGATTTGATGTGAAAAATATTTATTTGATATAAGAAAATCCTTTTAAAAACAAATAAATATTTATTTGTTTCAAATAAATGCTTTATCAGGCAGTATTGAAATAAATATTTATCAAATAATTTTTTTTTTTTTTCACGCACAATCATACAAATTCAGAAGTCGCAGAATCACTTTGCGAAAAAATGTTCGCATAGAAATTTTTACGAGAGCTCGCTTTCGTCCGCGTCGAAGCGGCTCGGATTTGAAAGGAGTTTTTGTCGGGCTTTTATACGCGCGACCGTATAAATATAAGAAAGCTCGCGATTTCTCAAATAAAACAGCGTATATACGTCGACACTTGGTTTCGACTGGCAAGAAAGCCGAATCGGGAAAAGTGAAGGGAGGAAATATTTTCGACGATCTTTCATACTCTTGTTGACACGTTGACGCGCTATTCTGGGCTCTTGCTTTTCGGGTCAATGGGGAATTTTCTCTGGTTCGGGTAAGAAAGTGTAAAGTTGCGACTCCTCGGAGACACGAGAATCGCGAGAGTCGCACGGTTGAATTTCGATCGTCGGAATCGGATCACCAATTTGCGAGATGAGAAAAGATGTGCCGTGAAAATATTATCTTTGTGTGTGAGAGAATATAAACGGCGCACACCTTGTTGGTATTTCTTGCGGCTATATGCTTTACGTCTCGTCGAATTTATTGATTCTCGATGGCTGTAAAACGGCGAGCAACGTTAACATGGCTTATTAAAGTCCGCTATTGACTTACTAAGAGCGAAACCGTCGTCTTCCAAAATTCGATAATGCTTTTTAACTTCAACGATTTCAGTTCGGTCGGGCAGCGTTTCAATTAATTTTGTTCGAAAATTACAAGTTTACAGAAGAAAATTCCGATTGATAATAATCTCGTTAAATATCATTTTTTATCGAAATATCCGAGAAAATTTCTCTCTATAAAAATTGACAGGTTTATTTTATACGGACTAATTAGCGCTATATTATATTTGCGACCGTTTTATATGAATATGAGCAAATATGAAATTTTTAATTACGGACACGAAGTTATTATAAACGTGCGACAAAAGCTTTGGTTTTTACCGCAAACACAGGTGCCAATCATTATTCAACAATCACGAAACGCGGTTTAGCTGATTTTTTCTCTTTTTTCTTCCTTTTTTTTATATTCGCCAACCGATCATTTTCACACGGCCGACTGATTTATGCGGTGGCTGACATTTTAATTAAACTTGTGGAAACGTTATTTTTCGAATGATGAAAAGTCCGCGTTAATAAAATCCCGCGCACGTTCGCGACCAATTATTTCATCTAATTTGTTCGCGTCGAAATTGTTTCGACGATTCTATCGAAATAGAAATATCTTTGAACGCCGAACTTCTCTCCGATATCATTCAACGAATAAGATGATCCCAGATGCTTGAAAGATGCGAGTCAATCGTAATATTTCGTCACAGAAATCTATCGGAAATGATATTGCGCGTTATATCGACGTATTTCCTTTTTTCCTACCGTCAAATCCGTTTCGTTTTCCGAGAGATATTCTCGGAAAATGAGCGATCGAGAGAGAGAAGAGCGCGAAGTCGTTATTTCTAGCACGAGGAAGATTTAAGCGGACAAGGCAACGGATTAAAATTATACCACCATCGTTATATAATATCTCGTGTGCATCGTGCAAGTTAGATGACACTCTTCGTCTTCACGCTATAAGTTTGCAAAATTATATAAAGAACTTCCGCCTCTTACATCGTCACAATAGGGATAAAAGTGTCATAATATGTTGTACAAGAAAAGATGGAAAGTTTCTTACACAGTTTTTAGGCATCTCTTTCTCTTGCGTTAAAACTTGGGGTTTTTCGGTTTTTTAATTTTTATATTTTTAATTATTTCTCTGTATAAATATGTATCTCGAAAGAGAAAATTGCAAATTATATGTAGATTTAACGAATATGATAATGTCTTGATATATTCGATATTAAAATATTGATTTTTCATTTTACGTAATACAGAATATTAAAAATAATTATTTCCACAATAATTATTCTCTCTATATATGTTTCTTAAATATATGCAGCGAGAGCATAAGCTCCTCTTTTATATTCTCGATAATGACGAACTAATTATAATTCAATATGCATATATATCCGAGTGACAGAATTATTTGTCAATTTAAATTCGTCACGTTAATGCAACGAATTTATGCGACGTCATTTGACGCAAAAATAGAATCAATTTTCCAATTATACTCTGAAAAGAGAGCGACACGCAACGCTCTCTCATTTACACTTAGCGTTAATTGCGAAACATCCCGAGTACTATATACAAACTCGACGGACTTGGCCAACCTGTTACTCTCGGATGCACTTTAGAAGCTTCCGAATTACGGGCAGATTAACGACTGACGTCGGAGACGAATTCGATCCGCGCGTCATTTAAGTAGAAGAAGGGACGCGGAAATACGCAGATGGGGTGGGTAGAGGGTGAATTAATACCGAGTCTTCAATCTAGTCTCTCCCCGCCTGTTACGCGCGTGTAACTTAATTACGATCGTGTATCCGCGTCTGGTCGAGAGTCGAGACTGACGCGAAACAAATCTCCGTTCTAATCTAACAGCCGAGGCAACCTGTTACTTGGTGCTCGAAACTCCCTCGCCAAGTTATATCAAGCTGGCGGCGCGAAATCGACCGCGGAAACCGCCGCGTGTCATCCGCCGCTCATCTATTGTCTCGTTAATCGTCTCGCGAGATACCGCGAGCTGCAACAATCGGTCATTATGTCGCCGTTAACTTGATCTCTTGAGTGTCGCGAGACTTGAAAATGGACTAAAAATCGCAATTGAACAATTTTGTGTTAAATTTGACAGATATCGCATGTCCCAAACGGCCCACGGAATTTTTTGTGTTAATTTAACATAATGTGGGTATGTTAAATTGAGACACGAATACTGTGTTAATAGATAAAATAAATGCAAAACTTGAAGGAATTTCAGAAATGGACTAAAAATCGCAATTGAACAATTTTGTGTTAAATTTGACAGATATCGCATGTCCCAAACGGCCCACAGAATTTTTTGTGTTAATTTAACATAATGTGGGTATGTTAAATTGAGACACGAATACTGTGTTAATAGATAAAATAAATGCAAAACTTGAAGGAATTTCAGAAATGGACTAAAAATCGCAATTGAACAATTTTGTGTTAAATTTGACAGATATCGCATGTCCCAAACGGCCCACGGAATTTTTTGTGTTAATTTAACATAATGTGGGTATGTTAAATTGAGACACGAATACTGTGTTAATAGATAAAATAAATGCAAAACTTGAAGGAATTTCAGAAATGGACTAAAAATCGCAATTGAACAATTTTGTGTTAAATTTGACAGATATCGCATGTCCCAAACGGCCCACGGAATTTTTTGTGTTAATTTAACATAATGTGGGTATGTTAAATTGAGACACGAATACTGTGTTAATAGATAAAATAAATGCAAAACTTGAAGGAATTTAAAATCAATTTTGTGTAAAATTAACATAGCTTTATAATGTAAACATTAAATAAAAATGTGTTAATTTTAGATTTTATCATTCCTACTTATATATTATAAAATAAGAAACCAACATTTTTTCTTGTATGTTTTAACAGATAAATCTTGTCTAGTTGTTTTAATAATTTAACATGTAAATTCAATTAAGACAACAGCAATATGTTAAATTAACACATGAATGTGTTAAACATTTAACACCAAATTTTAACGGGGACCGTTTTCAATAACACTAATTTTTCTACTGTGAACGATTCCTTCCAAACTATATTAAATTCGTACTTATGCAAATAATGGATGTTATGCGTTGCAGGGAGAGTAATAGAATCTTCTTCAATTTTTTTTTCATTTTTTGATTCATTGATTACTCTTGCAAGTAAACAAAATTTATACATTTATGTTTGGTATAATTATACGCATTATAGGAGACTCTTCAAAAAAATATTTATTACACGGAGATAAATTTCTCTTAGAATTTACCCTGAAGATCATAGTAATTGTGGGATAATGAAAAATATGTACATAGTAAAATTAATCGAACAAATCTTTATATACCTTATTGTGGAAGATATTAATATTTTTATTGTAATAAATATTAATTAGAGAAACTATAAAATTCAATACTATATTGTGCCACGATTAGCATAATTTTCAGGGTAAATTCTAAGAAAAAATTCTCTCTGCGTAGTTTTTCTTTTTAAAATAAATAAATGGCGTAAGCTCTTCATTAAAACTCTCTCTCTCTAGTTGCTCGCAATATTTTAACGTATCTTCTCATTAATCCGGTTAATTAAATTTAAATTTACACTACTATGATTCGTCCGTAAATTATAAAACGAGATCACACCTGCATATCGATCACCAAACATATTCGCCATTTTAATACAGATTTTATTCAACCTGTAATCCGTATGATTTATAATGAAACGTACATAAAATCGGTTGCAATCAATCAACACATCTGATAATGGACTATAAAAATCGAGAGCTTTTAAGACACTTCGCTGCGTACGTTTCACAGACATACTTCCGCACTGCAATCTACACAAACAGCTGTTCTTCGATTGCATTCTCGATTTCGAACGTCCCTACATATCTCCCTAAAATCGGTTTCTATACATTCTCACGCACCTCCGTTCGATCGCGATCGATCGCCTCTATAAGAACTGCTATAACACCAACCTGTTACTTGTCGGCAGCGCGAGCTTCCAAGAGGGGGATAAAAGGGCGCGAGCCCTCGAGCGCGCTCGACCCTTCGGCTCTCTTTCGCACGGATGCACGTGCTCTCTTCCGGTATTGTCCTGGCAGCGCGCCCACTTTTTCCCTCGACAAGAAATATATATATATATATATATATATACGCGCCGGAAGCGCGTCCGGGAAGAAGTAAGCAACGGGAGATCGATATATGTTCCTCGAACGGGTTCGATAATCTCGCGGGTTCGAGAAGAAAAAAAAAAGAAACCGGATGTGGGCACGAACCGCGAACGCACACCCCAACGAAGCGACCGTATCGTCGGGCAGGCAGCCCGGCTTGCACTGCCCGGGTCTACAGTTTCTCCCACCGAAGGACCGCCACCTCATCCCTCTCTCGGTCTCTCTCCCTCATTTCATCCCCCGCGACAACCACCCTCGGCCACCCACCGTATCTACTCGCGTTCTACGGCAAACGAACGCGTTCCCTCTTCCGAAAAAGCTCACCTCTCGCAACCCCCACCTGACACCCCCTGCCACCCCCCTCCCCTCCCTCTCACCCAGAGTCCGCTCGGCGAACAGCTCAGAGCGCAAGCTCGCGCCCCTTACTCTCCCGAGGGCTGGAAAGCCTTCGCCTCACGGCCGGCCGACGCAGGACGAAGGACGAGACGAAGACACCGCATCGAAAACGCGCGTCGCGTCGGTGCGTATGTCGAGCTCGACTACTTGTTTCGCGCGTGTTTCGACTTTCGACAGAGATCGTGTGTGTATGTATATATATATATATTTTTTTTTTTTTATACATATATATTTGATGGCGATACATCTAGGAAATTATATGTATATATTTTATATACATATAATTTTCTAGATGAATCGCCATATAATTTTATCTTTTATCTAGATATATTTTATTAACAAAATCGTCTTATATAAGATTAATTTACATATTTTATTTCATCTTTATCTAGCTAATTTTAAAATTATCTAAGCACAACAAAATATATATATAATTTTAAAATCATCTAAGCACAACAAATATATATATATATATATATATATATATGTTGTGCTTAGATGATTTTAAAATTAGCTAGATAAAGATGAAATAAAATATGTAAATTTATCTTAGATAAGATGAAGACGATTTTGTTTTAAATATATCTAGATAATAGAAAATTATATGGCGATTCATCTAGAAAATTTACTAAGATAATAATTGTGAAGACTGCTTATGTAAACGCAGTTATTAAAAAATGTAAATTATAAAAAGGATATAAAAATATACCTATGTATCCATATATTTATTTATAAATTTTTATCGCTTAAGTTCTACTATTTAAGTATTTTTATGTGCTATGATTCTAAATCAAAATTATTTTAGATAATTTAGTAAAGATAATACTTTGTAAGATGCAGACATAGATAATACATATTTTTACCTATATGAAGTTGAGATGACACCAAAGTTTCATCTAGATGATCATCTAGATAATTTTATTTAGATAACAGCAAACACTGATATATATGTCACGTTGCGATCCGGTGTTGAATGGATATGATGTTGGCTGATGAATGGAAGGAGGGAATAAGTAATATGCAGAGAGAGAGAGAGAGAGAGAGAGAGAGAGAGAGAGAGAGAGAGAGAGAGAGAGAGAGAGAGAGAGAGCTGGAACGTTAAACGGGATTAACGTGAGAGGGAAAAGTTAGAAAAGCTCTCTATCTGTATCTGTAAATTTAGATTGCCATTATAAAATTAATTTGTTATACCGCGAGTTTCCTTCTCTCGAAAATATAATATTTAAATATTCAAATGTTTGAGAGAAAATGAACACGTATGATATAATTTTACCATGCAGTTATTAATTTTTCTCCTTTCTCCCATTGTTGTACCCTCTATTTATTAATGCAAAATTTATATATGAATAAAAGTCGACTTGTCGCACAATGAAAACATATATATATATATATATATATATATATATTCATTGTGCGACAAGTCAACTTTTATTCATATATAAATTTTGTTAAATTCATATATAAATTATATATATATATATATATATATATATATATATATATATATTTGCGACTGTCGCGCGATTTTAAGCGGGTTAATCGTACATAAATGTTCGTCGAGGGATAAATAAATAAATAGGCGAGTCGGGGATATAAATCTACGTTTCTCGGCTTAATCCGAGGATCGCGAATATGAAACGATACGTAAATCCAGGGTCGCCAGTGAATACACAAAGAGACGCAGCGTGCATACGTAAAGTAGGAGCGAATCAAAAGTACACATCGCGAAATTTCGACAACGCTGCTGCGTGCGTTGACGCGCTGAATCTCGTTTGCAATATTATTGCTCTATGCAAGTCGCGTACGTGAACAAACAACGTAGCTTCGTCGTCGACATGTTTAATCGGAATCGCTGGAAATCGAATTGCATCGCTGAATCTTAACTTCATTCCCGATAAATTGCGATACGCGTCGCGCGCGCGCGTGCGTTTTATATATATATATATATATATATATATATATTTATATATTATATTCGTTTTATATATGATCCGATGATGAAATAGTATAATGCTCTTAAAATGCAGTTCATAAATATTTCTTCTCGAGTAAGTCTCTCGAGATAAATCTATCGCAGCACGAGTATGGAAAATTATGTATATCGAGGAATCAGCTGATCGAGAGCAAGCAAGTTTGACATATTAAAACGAGAACTCTCTCTCTCACGATGCGAATCGAATTTTCTGCAATTATTTTCACATCATATTTTAACAATTTTAGCCTGTAGAAGACTCGATATAAAATATCCCTTTGAAAACTGCGAATGAAATTTTTTTTAAAATTCGATTTTTGGAATAATTAATCTCGTTGGGGTGAAAAATTGGTCGAAAAAAATTCGTACAGCTGCGAGATGGCATTCGGTCGACCCTGGTCCACGTGTTCGCGGCACTCTCTCATTATCCTTGCCGAGGACCGCAGGAATAACTCCTGATGAGACGTCACGCCAGCGTCACACCGCTACCTGATCGATTTCGCGCGCGCAGAGAGGAAGTTTCCTGGCGAAGGTTCAGGTCGGGCTCGTGTCTGCCCCTCCATTGTCCTGCAACCCCCTCCGCTGTTCCATTCTTGCTCGGACCGTTCCAAGGGATGGTGGTGAGCGAGCGAGGAGGATGATTTCGCGATGCGCAGGCGACGTACCGCGCGCGTGTTTCAGGACACTCCGCTTATTATACGGTTGGGGGTGTCGGAGAAAAGACTGAGAGAGAGAAAGGGAGGGAAATGGGTGAAACGGAGGAAGATGTCGAACAGTGTCGAACCAGTGCGGAAAGTTCCGTGGCGTCGTGAGATCCAGGGTTGGAGAAGCGCGACTCGTGATAGAAATAGACCTCCGACGATGATGCTCGTTATCCGCGTAGAATAATAAAAAAAAAAAAAGGAACTCCAGTTTCTCTCGCCGCAATAATGAAGGGATAGACGGCTTTTATTCTCCCGTGTTCTCCGTATGTAAAGAGATTTTTCACCGATTTGACAGAAATTCTTTCAATTTGAGTTTCCAATGAAGTTGAAAGAGTTTTATGAATAATTTACGTGAATTACGTGTTTTTAATCAATTGTCGATTCTGAATAACGCACGTATATGTTTATGATATGTATGATTGTGAAAGAAATGTTTAATACTATTATATAATGTTTAATATTAATAATGTAGCGTATATTATGTAATATTAATAGAATACCACGTTGTGCAGATTAAATTTACATAAAGAGATTAATTGTTTAATAATAATAATATATATAAATCAACAATATTAGCAGTTTTTTATTCATATGATATTAGTCACAAGCTATACGAGCAAATCCTCTTTCACATTTGGAGACTTTCGAAATCAATCAACTTGAAAGATCAGGCTAAACCTTGAAACAAGGGAAAATGACAATAGCTTTCTTTTATCTCTATGGATTTGATCCTGGGAAGAACTTTCCGCTGGTTCTCTTTGGCGTCTGCGGATATCTACTGTTTTAATCATTGTAAAGAAATTATGTTTTTAACAATTTACATTAACAATGGTGGAATGCAAAACCATGTCGAGGAATCCTCTTTCATTTCTCGGCGCAACTCGCTGAAAAGAATCCGTACTACGCTTTGATGGTTGATTATTCCATGAATTCTGGCACCGTCATTAAATTCTTACGATCCGAGAATGTCTTTGAAACGTTGCGAAATGCGCTAGCATTATTCAAGCCGCGAAATCTTGCCGGGAAAGTTGAAACAGAAACGCAAACACCGTCGACTTACTTGTCTTACGAAATATATTTTACGTTTCTCATCCATGCGTTGTTCTTTGTTAATCTCAAAACCGTAAAGATCGTTTGTAAAGTTTGCTTTATAAAATATAGACAGAGAATTTCACTTAATACTCTATTTCAATTAATATTTCAGCTTAGAATTAAAGATTCAGAAAACTGAGATATATATATATATAATTCTCTCTCGTTAAACTGTTCTCAAAAACTTTCAAATAAATAAGAATTACTGAAATAAATGTCTTTCCATACGAGATATTCATGAGTATCTTTAGCATAAATGAATAATTTTTAATATTTTCCGACCTATTCATTTCGACTTTGCGCACAGAAATACACAGTAAAATAATTGTTCTCTTATTAAAAACGGTCCCCGTTAAAAATTTTATGTTAAATATTTATAATGTTAAATATTTAACACATGTGTTAATTTAATTATTGCTGTTGAACTTAAATGTTAAATTATTAAAATAACTAAAAATGTATCTATTTTCAATTTTACACAATAAATATGTTCTGTTTTATTAATGACAAGATTTATCTGCTAAAATTTACTTCAAGTTTTGCATTTATTTTGTGTTAAAATATTAACACAGTATTTGTGTCTCCATTTAACATATCCATATTATGTTAGATTAACACCAAAATTTTTGTGGACCGTTTGGGACATGTTACCTGTTTTTAACTCCAATTTTTCAGCTGTGTATTATACTAACTTAGAAATATTAATTATTGTTCTCGATATAATATAATGTCGCGTACGCACTTTCTAACGCCGAGAAATTACAATGAACCCCTTCAACAACGGTTCTGAATTAATCCTTTGTGCAACTTATGCGAAACACACATACACAGAGAGAGAGGGACAGTTTCGTATTCGAGTATGCGGTGTGCTTTGTGCGCTTTATGTCGAAGACGGAAGCGTGCTCGGAAGCGATGCAGCGAATCTTATACAATTGTGTCAGAAACATTCGAAACTACCATTGCATTAATATATACATGTACACG